AATAGCGAGTGGGGACAAACACCAGATACAGCACTGGGACTTGATCAACAGCCGATACCGCCCCGTAATGTCACTAACCAGTAGGTGGCAGTAGTGTTCTTTGACAAACATGGATGCCTCCAGTAAAGCACATTCACATGAAAATTACTCTGAATTAAAAACACTGATCATTTATTGAACAGGATGGAATCATTTCAGATTTAAAGAACTTTCAGAAGTTTGGATTCTGAATGTGAGCTCCTTTCCAGTGAATGAGTCCAAAGAAAGCAGCGTTTTGCAGAGGATGATGAACAGGAAGCGGTTTGGCGAGGAAGTGGATGAGGAGGATGGATTAGAGCGCTTTCAAGGAAAAACATTAGGAGACCAGAGGGAGGTTGTGATGATAGACGAGGGATTGCTTTGCAGCTTTGTTTAGTCATAGATATATGCATAGTAGAGCAGTTTGAGGATCAGTTTGAGTGTCTGGAATGATCAGGTTGCTCAGTCTGAGCTGCATGGTTGATTATTATGTTTTCTTCACTCCTGCTGCTGCTTTAAGCTGAAATAGTCTTCATCACTTTTTCATCAGCAAAAGAAAAACGAGCTGCGAAACATAAAAGATGTTTGGCTTTGTGGTTCTCTGGTCCTGCAGCACTTCCTCTGACACTGCAAAACAGGAAGCTGCTACAGCAGAGCACCCCCACCCTAGTGGGCGGGACCTGCATGCAGCTGCTGTCTAACCTGTCGGCTTCATGCAGGCCGCTGTGTGCAGGTGAGTCTGCAGAGGCTGAGGCGTTTGTGTCACAAAGCAAACTGAACATAGATCCGTTCAGCTCTGATCTGGACGCCTGCTTCAGCTTTGATCCCATCCTCTTTTTTTTTTTTTAGGATTATTCCTTCAGTTTCTCATGTTCTCAATCATCTCATCCTGAATGCATTCCGCCTTCCAGAAAAACATCTGGATGAGGAGAAAATGTGGAAACAGTGTCGTGTTACAGTGCAGAGCTTCTGTTTCTGTTGGTCCCAAACAAAAGCCCTTCTATGGCCTATAGGAACATGCAGTACATTCTGCACAGAGAGACCACGCCCACAGGAAGAGCAGGCTCCTCCTCCGTATGCAGATCTCCACCAGCCTGAACCTTTGAAAGCTTCTCTGTCTGCTCAGCAGAATCAGTGTTAAAAGGTTGAAGAAGGGATCATCTTCCTCAGGGTTTGTTGATGAAGCAGAAGATCACTGGTTCCTCTGTGAAAATAAGGCAGAAGGTTCTGATGAAGAACCTGGGAGGCGCCGTCAGGCTGGTGGTTGCTGACAGCAGATGGCGTCTCCTTCGCTGCTCTTTTTGATTCCCACTCCATGCATCTGGACAGGATCAATCTGATCTGGACCGATCTGATCTGGACTGGACCGATCTGGACCGGACCGATCCGATCTGGTCCGATCTGGTTCTGGCAGCTGGAGTTTCCACTTGATGCAACAAAGAGAAAGAAAAGAAACCGGCTTCCTTTTTCATTTCTGTTTTTTCCGCTCACACGCCTTCATCTAATTTCCTCTTTCAGCCTCGGTCAGTTTTAAAGACCCGCAGCGTTTCTCTTCCCTTTCCAGGCCTGAAACTGAAATCTCTTTAGTTTTTAACACCCATAAAGTTTTATCTGTCTTCCAAAGTCTGCGCAGCAAAATAACTTGTTCCCATTTCTGAATCAAAGCTTAGAGCAAAGAACAGGCTGGGAATGTGTCGCTGTGCCTCTGGTTGCTAAGCGACAGGGCGTACGGCGTTGAAAGGCGTGGAAGGCTGGACCTGTTTGAATCCACAGTCTCCTTATTTTCATGGAGTTGGAAGAATCCAGTCCAGGATTTGAAAGCAGCCGATCAAACATTCACTCTTTGGATCGTCTGCCAGGTTTTACCTGAAGACTGAAACCAATAGAGAAACACTAGAAACCAGCTGCTAGCTCTGCAGACGTTTCGTAAGCTAACGGTTCTTCCAGGCAGATGAACTTCCTGGCCTGGTTTTGTTTTCTAACACAGATTACAGGTGCTGGTCATAAAATTAGAATATCATGAAAAAGTAGATTGATTTCAGTAATTCCATTTAAAAAGTGAAACTTGTATATTATATT